TCCACATTTGGAATCTTGTAAATCTTAGTGGGTACAAGAGGCAGGATCAGTTTTTATTTGTTTATTTTGTCTTATTACAACTTCATTGACATATAAGTCACACTCCACATGTTTCACCCATTTAAAATATACAGTTCAGTGGTTTTCAGCATATTCATGAGCTGTGATCAATTTTAGATCATTTTTATTCTCCCCAAAAAGAAGTCACTCTCTATTTTCAACCCAGCCCCAGGCAACCACTAATCTAATTTCTGTCTCTATGGATTTGCCTATTCTGGGCATTTCATATACATGGAATCATACAACATATGACCTTTGGTGTCTGGCTTCTTTCTCTTAGCATGATGTTTTCAAAGTTCACCCATGGTTGTAGCGTGTGTCAGTGCTTCATTCCTTTCTATCGCTGAATAACTTCCCGATGTGTGGATATACCACATGTTGTTTATCCATTCATCAGTTGATGGACATTTGGGTTGTTTCCACCTTTTGGCTATTTAGATAGTGCTGCTATCAGCATTGATGGGTAAGTTTTTGTGTGGACATATGGTTTCCTTTTCTTGGATATATACCTAGAAGTGGAATTGCTGGGTCGTATGGTAACTCTAGGTTTAACCTTTTGAGGAACTGCCAGACTGTCTTCCATAGCAGCCGTACCATTTCACATTCCCATCAGCAGAGTACAAAGACCCCAATTTCGCTACATTCTCAACACTTACTGTCCATCTTTTTAACCACCCTAGTGGGTATGAAATGGTATTTCATTGTAATTTTTTTTTCCTTTTTTTGTCTTTTTTCGTGACTGGTAATGGGATCGCAACCCTTGGTGTCGCGCCCGTACCGCGACTGGCAACGGGATCGCAACCCTCGGTGTCACGTCCGCACTGCGCTCAACCAGTGAGCGGACCGGTCTCTATGTGGGATCCGAACCCTTGGCGGGAGTGCCGACCCTTGGCGGGAGCGCCACCACACTCCCAAGTGCTGCACTCTGAGTGCGCCACCGGGCCGGCCCCGTAATTTTGATTTTCATTTCCCCAGTGACTAATGACATCGAGCATCTTTTCATGTGCTTATTGGCTGTTTATATATCTTCTTTGAGAAATGCCTATTCAAGTCCTTTACCCATTTTTGAATTGGGTTGTGTCTCTCTGTTGTTGAGTTGAAGGAGTTCTCTGTATGTTTTCGATGCAAGTTCCTTATCAGAGTTATTATTTACAAAAATTTTCTCTCATTCAATGGGTCTTTTCACTTTCTTTTTAATGTCCTTTGAAACACAAAATTTATTAATTTTGATGAAGTCCAGTTTTATCTGTTTTTTCTCTTGTTGTTTGTATTTTTGGTATCGTGGCTCCAAAACCATTGTCTAATCCAAGTTCATAAAGGTTTATGCCTGTATTTTCTTCTACAAGTTTTATTGTTTCAACTCTTACATTTAAGAGAATGTTTTTAATGAGCTGCCAACAGCAGCTAGTGAGAAGGTTGTGTCTTTGGGGAAGTTTGTGGAACTGTGTGTTGCCTGGGGGTCCTGCCAAGGTCCCTCCTGCCACCCTAGCTGTCCAGCCCTCCAGCTGTGTGGGTTTGCACCCACTGCTTCCTGTCCCTGGCCCTCAGTTTCCCCATGTGTACCACAAATAGATCATCCCAAGGATGTATCTAAGTATCCTTCCCGTTCTAGTCTTGCCTTCTGGAGTCCCTTTCTTCAGAGGCGGCTCAGGGCATGCTTTCCTACTCTGCCCAGAAGAGCCCTGAACCAGTGGCTCCCTGGCTCCTGCACACACACACATGCCATACGTGTGTGCACACACACAGACACCCTGAGAGGCAGTTTTAGTGACTAAGTCCAGCATCTGGGGGGCTAGGGGAGGCCCTCCGTCTCCTGAGTCATATACTGAGCCCGGGACACACATTTCTGTCCTGGAATCAGGCTCTTAGGCAGCAAAGGCCACTGCTGGGTGTCCCCTCTCTCCAGTGCACTGGCAGCTTGCAGCTTGGTTCCAGCAGAAAAGCCCAACCCAGCCCATGCTGTGAGCTGCTGCCTCCTTCAGCTGTGCAGTAATTAGATGTCAGGGCTAGTGGTCAAGAGACGCTGCCAGCTTAGCCAGGAGATTGAGTCATGCCCCAGTGGCCCGGAGCCAGGAGAACATGAGACAGAGCCAGGCTTGCTTGGTCCAGAGTGTGGCACTTGGGCAGGGCCCTGGGGAGGTGGCAGGGCAAATTGGATCCCTGAGTATGGATGTGGGCCCATCTGGCACCCCCCCTTTCAGACACAGCCCCCTCCCACTCCTGCCAGACAAGCCTCCCATGATGTCAGGCCCCATCAGGTAAGGAGGGGGTCCGAGGCATAGGCAGGTTCCTGCAATTCAGGGTGGTGCATGGCTTCCTCTCTGTTTCCACACTGCCTGGCCCCTCATGGCCTGGAGACTTGACTGTCACCTTGGGCAAGCCGTCTCCAGTGCTCTGTGCCTCGGTTTCTTCCCCTTTGGAATGGGGAGCATGACCCTGCAGTATCACAGGGCTCTGAAGCACAGAGGAGAGCAGGACGGTGTGAGGGCAAGCTGTAAACTGAGGCAGGGTCAGGGAGGCTCCCACTTGGGCCCTCTCTTTTATGCTCTTCACCCCTCCTGGGGGCCTCTTCTTCCAGAAGGCCCTCCTTCCCTGTCTGCACCAGCTCCAGTAATGATCTCTGTCTCTGCAGCTCAGCCCCAGTGGCTCTGTGATGCCCTACGGGTCCCCCATGGGGGCCTGGCACTGGCAGCTGTGGCAGGGGCCTTCCTCCCCAGCTGTGTCCTGCTCAACAGTGTGGTGGGGCCTGCTCCTCTGCTCTGTCCCGTGTCCTCGAGGCCCATCCACCAGCCTCACTGGCAAATCCAGGGCCAGAAAACAAAGCCAGGCAGAGAAACATGCAGCCTGGCCCCTCCCCACCTCCCCCGTCCAGCACCTCTCAGCCTCCCTGGAGTCCCCAAGCACCAGGAACGAAGGGTTTTCCAGGCCCAGGTCCTCAATCCATCCTTCAGAGAAACTGAAGGCATGGAGACATCCGCTCTGGAGCCATGACAGCTCCTGCTCACCCTCTGGGCTGGGATGAAGCTGGGCCTGGGTGACCCAGAACAGTGTTTTCCCAGTGCTAAGCACACACATGGACCGAGCTCTCCCTGGAGTCACCAGCAATGCACGATCTTGCTTAATTTGCACAACCCAGTGAAGTACTGTCCTTTGTCCTCTTCACATGAGAAAACTGTGGTGTAGAGAAGTTAGGTAACTCATCCAGGACCACGTGGAAACAAAGAGGATTCACACCCAGACATCTGTACCCCAGAGTCCATGCTCTGAGCCACCACCTCCTGCCACCTCCCTGAGAGGGGGCCCCTCACCCACCCCCCTTTTGATGTCATGTTTAAGAAACCATTGCCAAATCCAAGGTCATGAAGATAACCTTGTTTGCCCCTATTTTCTTCTAAGAGTTTTATAGTTTTAGTTCTTATAGTTTTATAGCTCTAGTTCTTACATTTGGGTGATTTCAGTTTATTTTTGTATATGGAGTACAGTAGGGTACAACTTCATTCTTTTGTGTGTAGCTATCCAGTTGTCCCAGCACCATTTGTTGAAGACTGTTCTTTCCCAGTTGGATGGTCTTGACACCCTTGTCAAACACTAATTGACAATAGATATATGGTTTATTTCTAGACCCTCAATTCTATCCCACTGGTCTGTCTATATTATGCAGTACCACACTGGGTTTTTTTTTTCCGTCTTTTTTTTTTTTTTTGTCTTTTTCCGTGTCCGGCAACGGATCGCTTCAGCCAGTGAGTGGGAACTGGTCTGTATGTGGGATCCGAACCCTCGGGCGGGAGCGCCGCCGCACTTCCCAAGCGGCGCACTTATCCAGTGCGCCACCGGGCCGGCCCCTTTTCCGTCTTTTTTGTGACTGGTAAGGGGATAGCAACCCTGGCTTGGTGTCGCCCACACCGCGCTCAGCCAGTGAGCGCACCGGCCACCCCTACATAGGATCCGAACCCGCAGCGGGAGTGCCACTGCACTCCCAGAGCCGCACTCTCCCAAGTGAGCCACGGGGTCAGCCCCACACTGTTTTAATTATTGTAGCTTTGTAAAGTTTTGATATAGGGAAGTATGAGAGTTTGTTTTGGCTATTCAGTGTCCCTTGCAATTTCATATCAATTTTAGGATCAGTTTTTTTTGATTCCTTCAAAAAAGGCTGCTGAGATTTTGATACGGATTACATCAGATCTGTAGGTTGCTTTGGGGAGTATTGCCATCCTAACAATATTACATCTTCTAATCCATGAACACGAGATGTTTTCCCATTTATTTAGGTCTTTAATTTCTTTCAGCAATGTTTTGTAGTTTTCAGTGCACAAGTCTTTCACCTCCTTTGTTAAATTTATTTCTAGGTATTTTATTCTTTCAGATGCTATTGTAAATGAAATTGATTTCTTAATTTGCTTTTTGCATTGTTCGTTTTTGTGCATTGGCTTTATATCCTGCAACTTTGCTGAATTCATCTATCAGGTCTAACAGGTTTGGGGGAGATTCTTTAAGGTTTTCTATATATAAGATTATATCACTGGCAAATTGAGATCATTTTACTTCTTGCTTTCCAATTCTGATGCCTCTTGTTATTTCCTTTTCTTGCATAATTGCTGTGGCTAGGACCTTCAGTACAATGTTGAGCAGAAGTGAGGAAGTAGGCATCTTTGACTTGTTCCTAGCCAGTTCTGGGATAGATGGGAGTCAGAATGGAGGGTTTGCATGTGCAGCACTGTGCTCCAGGAGGGAATCTTTGGCCCCTTCAGTCTCCTACATAAGGCTTGGAGCGTGTGGAGATTGGGTCTAGATTTGGGGGTCCTGAGTGAAACAGGAGGAACCCCCCTCATTGGCCAGAGCCCTTCCTCCCTTCCACACCCCCAGGCTTGGTCTCCTGAGCCCCTTCCCTTTTGCAGACTGCTCTGGCTTCACACACAGCACAGGTGCTTTTGTCCCCACAGAAGAAGAGCCGTAACGAGACATATGGCGAAGGGAGTGGAGTGGAGATCCTGGAGAACCGGCCATACACAGACGGCCCTGGCGGCTCCGGGCAGTACACGCACAAGGTGTACCACGTGGGCATGCACATTCCTGGCTGGTTCCGCTCCATTCTGCCCAAGGCAGCCCTGCGGGTGGTGGAGGAGTCCTGGAATGCCTACCCCTACACCCGGACCAGGTGCGCTGCCTCCGCCTGCCATCTGGGTGAAGTGACCCTGAGGCATAGATCCAGGGGCATGACCTCCAGGCAGGCTTAATCCCCCATACCTCCAAGAAGCTCAGGCTCTGTCCCAGATGGGTGCCCTGAAAGCCCCCTGGGGCTGCCACAGGCAGGAGAGGCAAGGATACATCCCAAGATGCCTCCCAGACTACCCAGGGATGGAGGCCATGAAGGCCATCTGGAAGGCTCAGGGAGTATAATCTAATTTTGAGTTCCCCTGAGAAGGCCAGGGCCATCAGCCTGCTGGGAATAAACACAAACTGAGGGTAGACCAGATGGCATAGAGGTCACCTCCAACTCAGACCTTCAACTGTTGTGACTGTGTCTTACTGCATCCTACACTGAGCAGTGCCTTCCATGGAATCCTAGGGTAGACCAGATGGCATAGAGGTCACCTCCAACTCAGACCTTCAACTGTTGTGACTGTGTTTTACTGCATCCTACACTGAGCAGTGCCTTCCATGGAATCCTCCAGTAGGGGCTTTTTCACTCTGTGCCCGGCCCCCCAGTGTGTAGCTCAGCACTGCTGGGTCAGATAGATAGGGGACTGCTGCCTGTCAGCTCCCGCTCCAGGAGCAAGTGGCATCCTGGCAAGTCTCCTGGGGCTCCCTTCCTTTCCCACACTCGGATCCACAGAGGTTGTTCCTTTTCTGTCCCAGCAGCACTTTCCTTCTCTAAGCTCATCTCCACCCCAGAGAGAGGGGCTGTTCCCCTGTTGCCAGAGCTGGCTCTCTGGAGAACAGGGGTGGCATGTCCCATGGAGTGCTGGGCCCAGGTCGCACCTATTCAGCAGTACACTGCCGTAGCCCTGCCTGCATTCCCACCAGGCCTAACAAACGTGGATGCAGACGCGCAGGGCCCCGGAAGCTGCTGAGGCTCAGCAGCTTCCCACACCGTCTCTCTCTCCCCTTCTTCCCATCCCTTCCCCCACCCTTGCCTTGGCTGTTCTTGGGACAAGGAGAAGGTCCGGGAAGTGAATGGGGCAGATGAGTCCCAGTCGCCCCTCCACCCTCCTTCTCTCCCCACCTCCTCCCATGTCACTCCTGCCCAGTGAGGTCCCATGGCCCCTCCAGGCACAGGTCCTGATGGAAGTTTTCCTTCCCCACAGGTTCACCTGCCCTTTTGTGGAGAAATTCTCCATCGACATTGAAACCTTTTATAAAACCGATGCTGGAGAAAACCCCAATGTGTTCAACCTTTCTCCTGTGGAAAAGAACCAGCTGACAATCGGTAACCGGGAAGGGCAGGAGCCCTTCAGAGCCGTGTTCTGGATTTCCCATCACAGGCCCCCTCCTGCCCTAATCTCCAGGCCTGGCCCTGTCCTGGGGGGCAGGTCAGAGTCCAAGCAAGCATGGGAGGTACCCTGGGGCAGAACGGGCCCCCTCTGCCCCATTTCCCTGACATGCGTACCAAGTCTAAGTGCCTTTCCCACTCAGGGGTCCCTGCCCTCCATCCCTTTGAGGTGTCCCCACTCCCCAGAAGTGTACATGTGTGCTGGGGGGGGCATATATTCTTGGGGGAGGCCATCTCAGGCTGAGAGTCCCTGCCCTCCATCCCTTTGAGGTGTCCCCACTCCCCAGAAGTGTACATGTGTGCTGGGGGAGGCCATCTCAGGCTGAGATCCATGCATGAGTGCCATGGACTGAGTGGGGGCTGTGGGTGGTCTCCACTCCACTCCCCTCCAGCGAAAATGCCATGCAGGAAACGGGCCCCATTTATTAAATTTTTGTTTTCAAGAGAGGCCAGGATTTTCATGTGAAATCTCCCAATTGCTAAATGTCGGCAACCAATTAAAAATCTTTGTAAATAAATAGCAAGCAGACAAAACACATCTGTGGACCAGACACAGCTCAGCAGCAGCAGTCGCTGTGGAGGCACTTCAGGCCAGGCCGCAGTGGCCTTGGAGGGTAGATGCCAGGCGCAGGAGCCCCCTAGGGCAGCCTCGCATGGGTGTGCAGGGCTTTCCCTGTGTCCCCCTCACCCCCCGCTGGAGTTTTCAGGCCCCTCTGGGGTTTAGGAGCTTTACTGGTGTCCTAGGGCTGCTATAACAAAGTATCACAAACTGGGGGCTTAAACAATGGGAACGTGTTCTCAGGGCTCTGGAGGCCAGAAGTGCAAAATCAAGGTCAGCAGGGCTGGTTCCTTCTGCAACTGTGAGGGAGTCTGTCCCAGGCCTCTGTCCTGGCTTCTGTGGTGTGCTGGCAGTCCTTGGTGTTCCTTGGCTTGTAGACACATCACCCCAATCTCTGCTGCCATCTTCACATAATGTTCTCTCTGCATGCGTGCCTGTGTACAAATTTCCCCTTTGTATAAGGGCACCAGTCATATTGGATTAGGGCCCCCCCAATGACCTCATTTTAATTTGATTACCTCTGTAAAGACCTTATCTCCAAATAAGGCCACATTTTGTGGTACTGGTTTAGGACTTCAACACAGGAATGTGTTGGGTCATGATTCTGCCCGTAACAAGAGGGAAGGACCGAGCAGGACCTGGGCCCCCTGCAGCTCTGTCTGTCCAGCCCCAGACCCTGCCTGAGCTCTGCAGGCTCCCTCAGAGACAGCTCCGTGGTTCCTAAGCCCCCATGGCATTACTCACTCTCGTCCCAGCCCTCCCTTGGAGGCCTTTGCCTGTGGGTTTGGCGTGTGTTCTGCCCGGGAGGGATGTCCATCCCTACTGCATACACAGCCCTCGGACCCGCTCCTGACCCCTGGCTGGTTTCAGAGGAGCTGACATCTGTGACCATAGTCAGCAGCTGGGCACAGCAGGGGCCGGCAGTGAGCAAGATGAGGCAGCAGGGGGCCTGGTCAGAGTAGATCCACCCAATTGCTGTCGTCCCTACTATACCCAAGAGCAGGGAGGGCTCTGTTAGCCACAGATGCTTTCCTAGGTTCTCTGTCACCGAGTGTGCCCAGGCAGTGCAACATGCACGTGCCTCAGGAGTGAGCACACAGGATGGCTGTGCCTGTTGGGGAGGAGATGACAGGTGGATTCTGAGATGCCCTGTGCAGGGGGGGACATGACAAGAGGTGGCATGGCCTACATTCCTCCTAGAATCATTGCTGGTCCTCTTGTCGCCCCACCAGGGCCCATCAGCCCCCATCCTGTTTCCTGCACCCCCAGCTCTGTAGAGTCAACCCCTGCTCAGGCACATCCCAGACCAAGCTCGGGCCAACACCCTGCTGGTCCCTTCAGGAAGGGCTTTCCACCAGGCCAACCTGCCTGCGTCCTCCTGGCTTAAGACCTGAATATAGGGCCACTTGCCTTGGGGGGGCGTCCAGGCACCTAGCGTGGCAAGAAATGACTGCATGTCCAGCTGTATCCCCATCGCCACCCTCCCCCCATGCAGACAACCTGATGTTTCTGAAAATCCTCCACCTCTCAATCAAGTTCCCTTGCTGCTAGACACTGCTCTGGCTGAAATGCCACCTCTTCTGGGAGGCTGTACCTGGCCTTCTCTGCTCCCCTACCCCCCATACTCTCCATTGCCATTCATCTCCACATGTGCCAAGGGCTAGGGTGCACACAGAGCACGGTTTTGCTAGAGCGACTTGAAAAGACAACAGAGAAAGACGCAGGCAAGCTTGAGACAGTTGCCTGGAGTGTCCTCCGCATGTCCCACAGCCATCCCCTCAGCATGGCGAGGCCCAGGGCCCTGCGAGGATTTGGGGGTGGAGGGGAGTGAGAAGAGACAGGGAGGGGTGGGGTCCAGGACACAGCAGGAGTGGCCACTCGCAGGGTCTCCCCACAGACTTCATCGACATCGTCAAAGACCCCGTGCCCCCCAATGAGTATAAGACAGAGGAGGACCCCAAGCTGTTCCATTCGACCAAGACCCAGCGGGGACCCCTGTCTGACAACTGGATCGAGGAGCACAAGAGCCAGGTCTCCCCGCTTATGTGCGCCTACAAGCTGTGCAAGGTGGAGTTCCGCTATTGGGGCATGCAGTCCAAGATCGAGAGGTTCATCCACGACGTCGGTGAGCGCCCACGCCTCTGCCTTGTGCCGCCTGCCTCCGCTCTGCATGTCTGCCTGTGACTCTGCGTTTCCGCTCCTTTCCGCACGGTGCCCCCAAAGCCTGCGTCCAATCTCTCCCCATGGTTTATCTTGACCACCTAGAAGTACATCCCGAGCACCTACAGATAACAAGCCCCAGACGCTACCCCCAGACGTTCCTGGCCTTGTTATTTTGATAATGCATATAGCCCGCCCCCCATGCGGGCAAGTACCCTTTCGGTTCCCAGGCCTTTATTTCTTCTACCCCAGGCCCGGGCCCACCGCTCTGCCTCCCCTCATTGGGCTGGAGGTTCCAGAGTGGCAGAGTGGCTCAGATATCACAGTGTCCTTCACACCAGGGAACAGGGGGACCAACAGATGGGACCAACTACTGGCCCAGTGACAGCTGGCCCAAGCTTCTCCCCACAGCCCCTCCCTATCCCCCCAGTCACAGCCTGACATTGTGCCAAGGGCTAGTCCCAGCCCCTGAAGCTCGTGACCTGAGGGAGGCACCCAGCAGACACCTGGGGCTGCTATGAGAAAGGGGGACTCAATTTAGACATGAGCAGAGCCACATTACTGATAGTACACTTCACACTTATCACATTGGCTCATGAAGGTGAGCATTGTCACCCATCTCTAGAGCAGGAAGCAGAGACCCAGCACTAGGACTGAGCCCAGATCTGCCTCCCATCCCAGCCGCCCTTGACCTGGACACATGTTCTGCACTCCAGTAGGTGGGGGTGTCTCATGGGGCAGCCATGGTCACACCCACCACCCCTTTTCCAGGGGGCTACTGTGGTGCCAATCTGCAAGGGCTGGGGGAGGTGGCAGGAAGAGAAGGAAGATGTCCCATCCCACTGGAGGGGATGCATCGCTGCCTCCTGTCTTTAACCACATGGGAGCTTAACTTGGCCCAAACCAGCCTCCCATCACCCGGGGCTCATGGGCTGGGACCGCATCACCAGCTCCCTGGTTCCGGGCAGGAAGGGCGGTGTCCTGCAGACAGCCCTGGCTGTGATCAGGAAGGCAGAACTGATTACAGCCAGGGCTGTGCCCCACCTTTCAAAAGTGACAGTTCTCACCTCCCAGGGGATGTGAGGATGGGGGCATGTCAGGGCAGGATCAGGTGGGAGCTCCCTCATCCAGCCCCAGCCTTCCCCATTGCCCTTCCCCACTCCACCCCCAGGAATCTGAACATGTCAATGGCAGCAACTTGCTCACCCTCTCCTCAGGGCTTCTCTGGGGTCACAAGACCCCCAGCAGATGTACTGGGGGTTGTGCTCAGGCACTGAGGGTCCCCTTGGCCTTCCCCAGCCCCACGTGGCAGCTGAGATTCTGGCCAAACTGTAAAGGCTCCCTAGCCCCCTAAAAGCCAGCTCTCCCCTCAGAAAGAAGGACAAGGGGCTGGTGAAAGAAAGAAGACAATTCTGAAATCCAGTCCCAGCTCTGCTTCATAGTGGCTCTGTGGTCTCTTAACCTCTCTGGGCCTCACTTTCCTCATCTGTATAATGGATGTAATAATAGCAATCTTGTGGGGCTATGGTGGGTGAGATGGTGGGGTACAGAACCAAGGATGGGATGTGGCACATAGTAGATACTTGATGACGGCTGCAAACATTAATAATATCACAGGGACAATTGGTGAACTTGTGTGAATAGGGCCGGGCTTCCTCAGGTGGCTTCGGAGAGGTGATTCCTGGGGGTTGGCACAGGTCTTAACTGTCCCAATTCCTGCCTAGCCCTAGAAATAGTGCTGTGTCTCAACCATTCCAGCCACCCAAAGAGGAGACATTTCCTTGTATCGGTTAGAGCAGAGGGCACTGCCCTTCCTGGCAGCCCTAGGAGGCCAGCAGAGAGGCCCAGAAAAGGAAACTGAGGCTCTTCAGTGTGGTGTGCCTGAGGCTACACCCTAGGGCTTGGGTGGGGGATGCAGACAGTCAGGCTGGAGGAGGACACCATCCCATGGACAGGGGTGAGAGGAAGCTTCCCACAGATTGGCCTTTAAGAATGAATGGGATTTAGAAAGAAAGCACCGGGCTGCCGGTGAGGTGGCTGAGCACAGCTGCAGTGGGCAGTACGGAGGTGGGTGGGAGGAAGGGCCGCCAGGAGACCAGCCTGGGAACCAGACATGGCTTGACCACTTGGAAGCCGCTCAGCATTCTCTAGGAGAGTGCAAGATGCATGCCCTGAGACCCTGAGATTGTTCCTCCCAGGTTTGTTCCCTGGAGAAACTCTCAGGCATGTTCTGGAATGTTGAGAGCAGTGGGTCAGTAAAAGCAAAATGGACAAACAATGCAAATTAGCCCAAGGCCCACTGGCAGGAAAAGAAATAGCACATGATGTGGTATTTCAAACACATAAGTACCAGACAGTGGCACACCTGAGAGCCAGAGCCCCAACCTGTGTACACATAGACAGAACTCACCCAAAGCAGCAAGTGGCAGGAGACACATGTAAATATCAGCAACAGCCAGACCAGTCCGCTAGGCTGTGTAGGAAAACACCTCTGTGTGTGTGTGCCAGAAAGCAAAGCAGGTGACAAACACAGAATCCAAGACAGACTTTTACAGGGAGGGATGCAGCCAGGGAGGGGCCTGTGGAGGGCTCCCCGTCACTGTGACATCTTCTGCCTCTCTGGGTGGTGTGGACGTGGATGTGCAATTTCTTTTAAATGTCTTTTGTTTGTTTGTTTTGTTTTGTTTTCTAGCCACTAGACAACCAGGGATTCTGGTTTTTTAAGTAACTTTATTGAGGCATAATTTTACATATCATATAATTCACCCGTTGGAAGAGAACAGTTTGCTAAATTTTAGTGTATTCACAGTCGTGCACAAACTTCTGAGCATTTCATCATCCCAAAAGGTAGTTTCTTCCTGATCATGCTCATCCCCACTCCCACCCCATCCCAGGGCAACCCCAGTCGGCTTTCTGTCTCTATAGTGCTTTTGTTATTCTTTATATCTTAAAAGGTATCTTATTTCTATATCTTACTTCATATGTGTAATATATTCTTATATATCTCATATGTTTAATATATTCTTATATATCTCATATGTGTAATATATTCTATTTAAAGTGCTTTTTTAAAAAAGAAGAACCAACCCAGTTTGAACTTGAACTTGATTTTCCATGGGGAATTCAGTGGGAAAAGTATACCAGACACTGAGACAGGAGACCCTCAGGAAGTCCTATTCTGCCTCCCCTTGGGACAGGAATCCCACCCCCAAGTTAACTGTGGCTTCTGGCCAAACACATTACCTTGGGTGGCCCCTCCACTCTAACTGAGCTTGTGAGGCCATCTGTGAGCCAGTCCCCTCATTTTACAGATGGGGAAACTGAGGCACGGGTGGGCAGTGATTTGCGCCTGACCTGCAACATCAGTGCAGCCTCCCAGCCTCAAGCCCTGGCATGGAACCCCTGATGTGGGCTGATGCTGACACCTCCTGTCTCTGTCCCCCCTAACCCTGAACGCAGGCCTGCGGCGGGTGATGGTGCGGGCCCATCGGCAGGCCTGGTGCTGGCAGGACGAGTGGTACGGGCTGAACATGGAGAACATTCGGGAGCTGGAGAAGGAGGCGCAGCTCATGCTGTCCCGCAAGATGGCTCAGTTCAACGAGGACAAGGAGGGGGCCGCGGAGCTCACCAAGGATGAAGCCACCCAGAACCAGGCCCCCAGGGAGCCCCCCAAGCCCAGCAGCAGCAACGGGGAACCCCTGGCAGGGCGGGGCCTAAAGAAGCAGTGGTCCACATCCTCCAAATCATCACGGTCATCCAAGCGGGGAGGTGAGCGCTAGCACCCCAGTCCCCAGTGCTTTCCCACCAGATGGGCCCCATGCCACTGCTAGACCTCTGTCACTTGGAAATCAACCTCTTTCTAGAGGACACTATGGAACCAAGCCTGTAGAGAGTCTGAGCTCTTCTCTTTCTAACTCAGCACCAGGCTAGTCCTTGCCTCAGAGTGAGGCCTGGACTCCACCCCAGCAGGCTCCCCAGACTCACCTGCAGGGCTCAGGGTAGGAGACTGCAGCTCCAAGGAGCCTGGAAGGCAGGTCTGGGTGGGCTTCCCCAGCACCGCCAAGGGGGAGCCTACCAGGCATCAGATGCTGAGAAAGGGAAGTGAACAGAGCACCCCATGGAGAAGGCACACCTTCTAGCCCAGCTTCCCTGCTGTCCCCCACCCTCACAGCCCCACACTGCGCTCATCAGCTCTGCTGTGGCCAAGGTTCAGAAGGTTGAGCCAGGTGGAGGCCCAGGGTGGATCCAGGCCCATCTGAGGGTGTGTCCTGGACTTACACCCGATGCCCTCCCACTCCCACATACTCCCCGGAGTCATTGGAAGGACAGGGATAATTTCAAAAGACCCAGGAGCTTCCACTGTGATGAGTCTGGGCCGCTCCCACCCTCGTTTCTCCAGTTCATTCTCTTCTGAGCTTCCTGGGTCCTTGGCAGCTTGATGCCGGGTTAGGCCCTTGGGTTTCTTCACACCCCCTACCTCCTGCTGGCTCACCAAGCCTCAGGCTGGGTGGTCAGTCTGGGGTTTTCTTCCAGCCAGTCCTTCCCGCCACAGCCTCTCAGAGTGGAGGATGCAGAGTATTGCCAGGGACTCTGATGACAGCTCCGAGGATGAGTTCTTCGATGCACACGGTAGGCAGGGGCTCCCACAGTCCTGGGGCCCCTCCTGGGCAAGGTAGAGTGGGGTCTGCAAGGGCTTGGGGAGGGGGTGTGGATTGAAGTAGGAACTGCCAGTTCTTCGATGCACACGGTAGGCAGGGGCTCCCACAGTCCTGGGGCCCCTCCTGGGCAAGGCAGAGTGGGGTCTGTCTGCAAGGGCTTGGGGAGGGGGTGTGGATTGAAGTAGGAACTGCTTCTTCCTGTTCCATACCTGCTACCTGTCCTGGTGGACAGCATGGTATTGGGGGCACAGAGGATGAGGTAAAGTCACCAGAAGGCCAGCTGTCTTGAGCCTGGGGTCTGAGGATGTGCTGCGGGCCTGGCAGGCAGAGACTGCTCTCTTGAAACCCCCCAAAAGGGATACACAATCAGACTGGGGTTTTTTTCCAAAGGTGAATTCTTTTCCATAAAAAGTATAACTTCTGCCTTAAAACACCAAGGTCACGGGTTCAGATCCCCATACTGGCCAGCCGCCCTCCCCCACCCAAAAAAGAAGTATAACTTCTTATAATTTTCTTATTTTTTGTACTTACCTTATTTTTTCTTGATTAAATTAGTATATGCCTAAAGTAAGACACGTTAGAAAATGCAATAAGCAGAAAATATGTGAAGTACCCATTTTCCCACTAATCCCCGAAGAAGCACCCTAAGCATACTGCACAGGGACCGCTGGTGCTGGACAGATGCAAGCACAGAGCGCATCCTTGCTTGGAGCCCTGGCCGGTCCTCTAGGTAGTTGGGGCCAGCAGGCAGGCACAGGGAGACAGGTCCCTCCCTCTGCAGGCTGGTGGCTGAGCCAGCCCTGCAGTTCCCATGCCGAGGCACAGGCTCAGAAAGGGATAGGAACTTGCCCACAGGCACAGAGTAGTGACAGGCAGGCCAGAGCCCTCCCTTGACACCATCATGGCTTGGAGGGGCAGAGGAGCCACATCAGTGTGGCCTAAAGAGAAAGAACATGGGGCATCACAAGTCCAGGCAAAAGGCAGGTGCCTGGCTTGGCCCTGGGGCTGGAAGACATGGAATAGGTGCAGGTGGCTCCTGAGCCAGCCTCTGCACCTGGGGCCTCCCCAAGGATAGGGAAGAGGCATCCCACTCCGCCCAGCTGGCTTGCTCCCTGACAAGAGGAACATACACAAATAATGTAGAAAAAACTGTAAAACAGAAGACAGCAAAGCAGGAGATGCCAGAGCAGCAGTGTCCTGGGGAAACTGGCCCAGGGGCCCATCTGTGGCTGGAGCAGGGGTCAGTGTGTGCCAGAGCCCGGACAGTGGCCTCTGACCAGTGGTCTCAGGCAGAAGTTCTTAAAAAAGTAGGAACAAGAGCCATGGGTGCAGTGTTCATAGCAGCTCTCCTCACTAAGCTTTTGTGGCCATTGGAAATGGTCAGGAGCATCCACTGACGAGTGGATAAACAAAGGTGGCCTATCCCTACAATGGGATGTGATTCTGCCATAAAAGGAGTGAAGTTCTGACACACTACAATGTGGACGAACCTCGAAGATGTCATGCTGAGTGAAAGAAGCCAGACACAAAAGGACACATAGTGTGTGATTCCATTCATATGAAATGTCCAGAATAGGTAAATCCCAGAGACAGACAGTAGACTGATTAGTGGTGGCCAGGGGCTGGAGGAGGCAGGAATGAGGGCCGACTGCTCGTGGGTACGGGGTTTCCATTTGGAGTGATGAAAATGTTCTGGAATTAGACAATCATGATGGTTGCACAGCATCTTGAATGTACTAAATGCCACTTTTAAACCATTTACATGGTGAGTTTTATTATGTCAATGTTACCACATTTTAAAAAAAAGGTCAGGAAGAAGCCCGGAGGGTTTGCGGCTATGTGGCTATCCTGTTAAGGAAGAGAAAGAGCAGGGCAGAACACGGAGGGGTTCCAGGGCCAGAAAAGCCAGGACTCCCAACACCCCCAGTCCCCGGTCCCTGCTGAAGCCCCCTCTCTCCTCTCCAGAGGACCTGTCTGACTCAGAGGAAATATTCCCCAAGGACATCACCAAATGGAGCTCCAACGACCTCATGGACAAAATCGAGAGCCCAGAGCTGGAGGACACGCAGGGTAACCGGCTTTGGGGGGCTGTGAAGCTGAGCCCCCTCCTTTCTGACCCAGCTCCTGCCCAGTGCTGTGGGCTCACAGTGCCGCTCCTGTGTTGTAGATGGTCTATACCGCCAGAGCACCCCTGAGTTCAGGGTGGCCTCCAGTGTGGAGCAGCTGAGCATCATCGAGGTGGGTGCCACAGGGACAGGGGCTACCAGGGGAGGGGGAGGGTGCAGAGGAATGGCCCGAGGGGGATCCCTTACTGGTGTTCCTGCTAGGAGGGCACCCGTCGGCCCTCTCTCTCCCTGATGTCCCTGAGAGCTAGGGACTGCAGACAGGCCCAGAGGAAGAACTTGAGCAAGCTCCACCCATGGGAAAGTAAAATGAGAAACTTACAAATTCCAGATCAAAAATAAGATCTCCACCTTGTGCCCAGCCTGTCTGCTGTCCCTGAAGATAAACAGATGGAAGGGGAGGAAACGGAAGTCATCTAGGCAGAAGTGATGTGGCCATGGCCAGTGAGGTGGCCCGGGGGGGGGGGGGGGATGCGGTCAGCAAGCGGAGTTCAGTGTGTCCAATAAAGCTGTCTCGCTAGAGCACCTGTGTCCGCCTAGCCTCGGGGGTTCTTTGCGGGAGCTCACGCCCCCTCCTCCTCCACCAGCAGGCGGTCAGAGCTGTTTGCACTGGGGGCGGGAGCCAGGCTGTCCCACACTGCAGTCACCACACTGCTCTGGCCTCAAGCTGCCTAAGCCTAAGGTGGAGACGGCACCTCCGGGGACTTGGGACCCCCTGGGGAGTCTGGGGGGAGGAAGAGAAGCATCCACACTCCCTCCTGGGGTTTTCTGCTTTGAGGTCTGAAGTCAAAGTGGGCTTTTCTAGAAGGGGTAACAGGACAAGGGGAGTTGATTTCCAGTTGCTGCTTAATGGCAAGATAAAGCGAATGGAGCCCCCTCCCCACTTGCAGTACACATGGCTCTGACAGCCCCCCAGGGGAGGGACAGAAGGGGCCTGGGACTCCAGATCTGCCTTGGGATGTGCATTTGGAACCCAGCACCAATTCTAGGGTGCCTCCATCCAAAGTCAGATCCCTTTGCTTGCAATAGCCCTCAAAGCGGAGGCCCCTCTCCCACTTGTGGAGGGGTAGCTTTATGGAGACACTGAGAGGGTCCCCCTGGCTCCCTGGAGCCACTCCCCACAGTCCCTATGGGCTCTGTCCCCACTGGGATTTAGGGCAGGGAGAGTTCCTGTCTCAGGCCGAGGAAGCAGGCTGAGTGTAAGGAAAGTGGTATTTCAGGGGCCTGCAGGGGTCCCTGGACAGCCTCCAGGGCTGGGCCCAGCCTGACAGGCACATGCAGGACTTTCTCAGCCCTCCTACCCAGCCCTGCCCAGCTGCAGGTGCCTGTCCTAGGAACAAGGAGGCTGCCGTAGACATTTCTCCCACAATCCCTGCACCTCACTGTGTGGGAGAAGCCCTGGTGCACAAGCCCCATGGAGCTATTTGGCCACTCCATCCTGGCCTGTGGTCCTCGGCAGCGGGCGGCACCATCCTGCCCTAGGCTGTGAGTTCATCCTGCCCAGGTCAGCCAGCGGTGGCCAGTCCTGTATGGGGACAGGCGTGGGTCCTGCCCAGGCCCAGGGAGGAGAGAGGAAGTCTCATAGCCACAACCAGGCCCCCTGGGCAGAGGCAGCCCAGTCCTCCCTCCTCCAGCCCCCAAGTGGCCCAGCGGGCTTCCTCCTTCCTGACTCCCCAGAGCCCTTGAGGCACAGTGGCTCCTGGCCTGCCCTTGTGCTTCCTGGTGTCCCCATCAGCCCTGGGTCCTGCACCCGTGCTACCCGCCCCCCAGCCTCTGCCTTGGCACCTGGGTCCTGCTGCTGCCCCTACCCCCTCCACCTGGTGGACCAATTCAGGGCCAGCTGTCCCCACCAAGGGCCCTCCAGATGACTTCAGCCTCTTGATCTGTCTCCCCAGATCCTTGGGGACAGTACCCTCCCTTCATCTCCCTTCCCTGCCCCCCCTATACCCCCAGACGTAACATGGGAACAGCAAGTAGGCATGGCCCTGGCCACACACCAGAAGCTTGGGGAGGGGCAGGGAGCCCCTAAGTTGGCAGGAGAGCCCTGAGTTGCGGCAGGGGCTCGGCTCCAGCCCAGTGTGCCACCAACATCCTGTGTGACATCAGGCCAGGCCCGTGGGCTCTTCTCACCCCACCTCCTCTAGAAAAGGAAAGTTTCGTACCCCGAGCATAGGTTTACTAATCTAGGGTCTCACAGACCTCACAAGCAAGCCTGGCTGACAGATTTGGGCTGACCTCCTTGCACTAAGGCACTGGGGCTCTGCCTCTACCAGGACATCTCTGCTCTTGGGGACATGGGTCTTACAGATAGTCTGGGAATGGCAAGGCCTGGTGGCCTGGGGCCAGAGGAGAAGGCCCCATGTAGATGGAGGGAGACCTCAGAGCTTCTGGCAGAGCAGCGAGGGACACTGCCTGCCCAGACTGTGGTTGCTCTGACCCCAGCCATTCTTAGTGGCCCTGTGTGCTCAGGCCAAGATAGACCCAGGCCTGGAAGCAGACGCACAAGGGCAGGCAGGCCCCCGCGGCTGGGACCAGGCTGAGCCTCTATGCCTCCTCCCCAAGCTGGAAGCCTCTGCCAGGGCTTCCTGAAGGAAGTGGAGGGGACAGACTCCCTCCCTCTATGTCCTCTGTACTCTGAGTCAGGCTGGGTTGGCAGAGGGAACAGGACCACGAGAAAGAGGAAAGGACAACCCCAGCCTTCCCAGCTTGTCCTCCAGGCCCCATAACTGAGTGATCGAAATCAGGGTTCCCAGCAGGAGCAGCTGGGCCATAACAGGCCTCCCCCCAGGGTGACAGAGGGGCCTCAGCATAGAGCTGAGTCCCTGGGAGTTGACACGCTCCCCTCGCCCGTGCAGGATGAGGCCAGCCAGCCGCTGGCCGTGCCACCCTCCAAGATCCACGTGCTGCTGCTGGTGCTGCATGGAGGCACCATCCTGGACACGGGCGCCGGGGACCCCAGCTCCAAGCAGGGTGACACCAACACCATCGCTAGTGTATTCGATACCGTCATGCGTGTGCACTACCCGAGCGCACTGGGCCACCTCGCCATCCGCCTGGTGCCCTGCCCACCTGTGTGCTCTGATGCTTTCGCCCTCGTCTCCAAGTGAGTGGCGTCTGCCTGAAGCTTCTCATCGATTCTGGCCCTTGAACTTTGGGTGGCTCCCCCAGTGTCAGCACCCCTGTCCAGATGTCCAGATGTGCCGTCCAGCCCCCTCTGCCCAGAGGCAGCAAAACATATGCAGACAGGTAGAGCTTAGAGTTGAGGAGGGGCTGTGTCCAGGGCTGAGCCTCAGTTTCCAGTCTGTAACGTGGGGGTGCTGACCTGACTCCGAGATATAAGGTCTTCCTCGCCGACCCTGCTCCCCCAGCCTGCCAAGGGCTGGCCCGGAATTGTCCCTGTGAGTATTTTCTGAGTCAGCGGCTGAGACTCCGGCAGGCAGCTCCTGTCTACCCTCCTCCCCTGCTATGGGGAGGGCCCCTTGGCCTGAGCTGAGGCTGCTGGCTCCCTCCTGACCAGCCCCTCTCCTCCAGCCTCAGCCCCTACAGCCATGACGAAGGCTGTCTGTCCAGCAGTCAGGATCACATCCCCCTGGCTGCCCTGCCCCTGCTGGCCACCTCCTCGCCACAGTACCAGGAGGCAGTTGCCACGGTGATCCAGCGGGCCAACCTCACCTATGGGGACTTCATCAAGTCCCAGGAGGGCGTGACCTTCAGTGGGCAGGTGAGTCGGGGGCAAGGAGGGAAGGATGTTGGCTGGCCTGAGCGAGAGGGGCCGGCTTTCCCCAGCCCGCAGCCAGCGAGCTCAGGCTTGGGCCTCTCCACCCTCTAGGTCTGCCTCATTGGGGACTGCGTTGGGGGGATCCTGGCATTTGATGCCTTATGCCACAGCAGCCAGCCGGTGTGTGAAAGTCAGAGCAGCAGCCGCCGAGGCAGTGTGGTCAGTGTGCAGGTACCCAAGCAAGGCCGGGGACACGTCTCTCCTTTGGCCCCAAACATCCACGAGGCCCATGGCCTCCTGCATACTGCGCAGAGCAGCTGCCCTGCTGGGGGTGCTGTGCCTCCACCCGCCTCGCAGGCTGTGCCTACCGAGGAGGGTGCTCAGTGGATACTTCCTCAGTCGGCGGACTGAGTCCTGAGCCACAGTCCCCATGGTCCAGGAGCCCCCCTCCAGGCAGGAGTGGGCACTGGCTGGAGCTGAGGAAGCCCAGCTCTGGCTGAGTACTTGGAAAAAGCACCCAAAGGCACAGGTTTATGCTGAGCCCCGAAGGAGCTTTGCTCAGCATCCTGCTTCCCCTAACTCCCCCCCAAAATGATGGGAAGGGCAGTGGCTTCCAGCACAGGTGCCCAGAGGTGGCAGGGCAGGTGCATGGGGGCAGGTGGACAGCTGCAGCGTGGCTGAGCCTGGGAGTGTGCCTGGCTTCAGGGGCCACTGCCCAGGGTTCACACTTTGGACAGTGGGGTCTGGTCCTGGGAGGAGTGATGGGCGGACCCTCTCCACTTTCCAGCAGGGAGGGAGGACCCACGGTCCTTCTGCAGAAGAGTGGCAAATGGCCTGGGGGGGAGAGTGCCAAGGTCCAGGTGGCCAGCCTAGGCCAGGAATGAAGGCGGTTAGGACTTGGCGAGTGGGCTGGGGGACAGCAGGGTCAGGGCTTTCCACTCTGGCTTGGGTGAGAGGCGGCAGGGCAGCAGCTGGCTGGGCCTGGAGTCAGGAGGGAGGAGGCAGCTTCCAAGACACTGAAGAAGGGGTCAGGCCAACAGCCACCAGCAGTGAGCCTCCATGGGGCCATTCCAGGACACTGACCTCCTGTCCCCTGGCATCCTGGTGAATACTGCACACTGCTCCAGTGACAGCAGTGGTGGTGGCAGTGGTGGAGGCTCCAGCCTGGAGAGCAGTCGGCACCTGAGCCGCAGCAACATCGACATCCCCCGCAGCAATGGCACTGAGGATCCCAAAAGGCATCTGCCCCGCAAGAGGAGTGACTCGTCCACCTACGAGCTGGACACCATCCAGCAGCACCAGGCTTTCCTGTCCAGGTTGGTGGCGTGGGAGGCACAGGCTGTGAGGCCCCTGTCGGGTGAGAAAAGAGACTCCACGAGGGAGGGGCAGCCCCAAGCAGTTGAGGAACCAGGGGGGCTCTTTCACGTCCCCACCTGCCAATCACCACCTTGAGGTCCCAGGAGCTCTGCCAGGTGCTCCCCCAGCCTGGGTCCTGGGATCCTGGAAGAAAGTGGTTTATTGGGTACCACTGCCTCGGACACACGAATGCCCATCTTGAGGGAGCAGGGTATCCCAAGGGTGGGAGTGGGATATGGCAGAACTGACCAGGGCAGTGCTAGGCAGCAGCACCCACAAGACAGCGCAGGGTCAAGTCTCATTTGGTCTTGATGACCCCTGAGGGGCTATCAGACCCAGCCTGTCCTTCATGAGGCTGAGAGAAGGCTGGCCCTGAGAAGGGCCATGTGTGACCTTGTCCCTCCCATCATAGCCTCCATGCCAGTGTGCTGCGGAATGAGCCCAACACCCGCCGCTCAAGCAGCTCCACCATGCTGGATGGCGCGGGGGGCCTGGGCAAGTTTGACTTTGAGATCACCGACCTCTTCCTCTTTGGGTGCCCGCTGGGGCTGGTCCTGGCCTTAAGGAAAACCGTCCTCCCAGCCCTGGATGGTGAGAGCCCAGCAGGGGGGTTGGGGTGCAATGAGCGGGGCAGGAAGTCTCCATGGACCCCTGTCACAAGGCCATGGCCACGTCCTGGGCCCCTCCAGCGTCAGCCTCCTTTCTGCCCTCCCCTCCAGGCCCCTTGCCCTCCTCTGCTTCTGCTTAGGCAGCTTAGTCACTGGCCCAGCCTTTGACACCTGCTGTTTCATTTCATCTGCAAGGCGCCCCTGGAAGCAGAGGGCCATTCCACAGATGGGGAAGCTGAGGTCCAGGGCAGCAAGACACCACCCCAGGGTCAGGTGGGGACACACCCAGTCTCCTGAGTCCAAGATCCTCACACAGGGGAGACATGCAAGGTCAGGCACCCCCCCCAAAGCCTCTTGGTGCAGTTGCCTCCCAGCCCTGGAGGGGCCACAGCCACACTTCTCAGTCTGCACAGAAGGGAGGAGGGATGACAGCTGAGCATCCCATCAGAGTAGTGGTCCCTGCCCTGCACCCCCTACCCTGGGATCAACCAGGGCGGGTCCAGGTAGCCACACAGTCCTCACCATAGCTGTGCAGGACCTACCATTACAGAGGAGGAACCTGGGCTCAGAGAGGTTTAGACACTTGCCAAGAGCAAGTGAGTGGCAGTGCTTGGTTAAAAATGCAGATCCCCATGCTTAGCACCTCACGCTCCTTCCCTTCCACTAGCTTGTCACTTCAGCACTGTCAGGAAGGGGAATCTGTAGCTTTGAAGGGGCCCAACAGCCAAGCAGCTCAGCTGGTACAGATGGGTGCAGCCCTGTTGGGCAGTACGACCTACCCAAACGATCCCACGCACTGTCACCTCCACCCTCTGCACAGTCCGACAGAGACCCTCTCGCAAGTGCACAAAGACTTAGGGACAGTGATGTTGTTGTCAGTGATGATGTTATGGTGACGTTATCTGAAATCGTGAAAAACTAGAACCCAGTTAAACAGCCATCCATGGGAAGGGGGCTGGGTTAATAAATGCTGGAGCAAACATGCAACGGAATTCCCTGCCTCCGTTAAAAAGGAGGCGGAGCTCTGCGTGCTGCGCAAAAAACTCCAACGTGTTTTGTGTTAAGTGGGAGAGAAAAGGCAAAGTTAACAAGTACAGCGTAACTCCTATCCACTGTGTTTTTAGAAGTGGGACACATATTACGAAGTTTACACTTAAGCTCTCACAGCCACGTGATCTTCCCGATGACCAGTGGCTGAAATGGCAACTCCCTTTCCCAGAGGAGGAAGCGCTTCAGCAGGGGGTCTGGGCAGGGAGGGAGCCTTCCACCATTTACTCTTCTCTACTTAAAACTATTCTGTCCGGCTCGGGAGAGTGCGGCGCTGGGAGTGCAGCAGCGCTCCCGCTGCGGGTTTGGATCCTATATAGAGGTGGCCGGTCTGGCTGAAAAGCACTGTCCCCTCAGGAGGACTCTGGAGAGAGGGGCCTTCAGACGGCCCCATGGCCTCCCTCGCAGTGGGAAGCAGAGGCCAGGGTCACCCCCTCTCCATCCCCCTGTGCTGGGGACAGGATTCTCTCTGGCCACAGTCAGAGCAGCCCGGCCAGGGCTGAGGCTGATGTAGGCGCTCCCAGCAGCTGTGTCCTTCTGTGAGGAGGGCCCTGGACCGCCCCTGGCCTCGCTGTCTTCTCAGTGTCCTTCCTGGCCCATGGTGGACATGGCAGTGTGGTGGCCACAGCATGGCTGAGCTGTTCCTGTTGTTCTTGCTCCTCAGAAGCCCCCAAGTCGCTCAGCCACACCCCCAGCATCAGGCGCCTGTCCCTGCTCGCCCTGCCCCCCCCAACCCTCACAAGCCCCGGCCCCCGCCCTTGGGTCAGGCAGGCAAGGCCCTGCCTGGAAAGTGCCTCCTGCCTCCCTGGCCTGGACATCGGAGAAGGTACTGGGCATTGCCACGCCCTCCACCCACGCGCTCTCTCCTCTAACCTGGGTCACACGCCTCTGCCAAGCACATCACACCTCTCACCATCAGGCCCTCCCACCTGGACCCACACTGAGGCTAACAGGGAGCCGGAGGCTTGGGCTGGGAGGACTCAGATACCTGGTGGGGGGTAGTGGTTGGAGTTGGCAGGGGGGCCAGAGGACCCCACAGAGCTGGAGTGAGGCCGGGTGAGGGCCAGGGAAGCTCCATGAGGTCCCCTGTCAGGCTGAGGGGCAGATCCCAGGGGAGCCTGGACCTATAAAACAGGCACCATTGCTGGGCAGCTCCCACATGCAGCCACCGGCAAGGCATTGTACAAGCCTCATCTCTGATTAGGGAGGGCACCCAGCCCCAAGTCAGAGTTGAGACTCACCCAGGACCATGCAGCTGGAAGGCCCTAGGCCTCACCACTGCCCTGCTGCATCTGGGGCTTGTGGGGTGGCTCAAGGGCTGAGGAGGGCCGCAGGCCTTGCCTGGGGGTTCAGGAATTGTAACCCCCCGCTGTGACACCTTTCACAGCCTTGAACCTGGGGGAAGACAGATGGGACAATGAGGGCAGCAGTGGGGTCCGGGCCCAGGAATCATCAGAATCAGTGACAGGACCAGGGACAGCTAGTCCTGCCTCCAAACTCAGGCTTCTCCCCCTACCCCCGAGACCACCCCCATCCCCCCATTACGCTCCTTGCAGAGAGTGAATTCAGCACTGCGGTGCTCCCTGCCACAGGGCCTCTGGCTGCTGGGAGCTGTCCTGGCATCTTCTGCCTGCTCATCTGCTTCCCTCTGTCACCGCCTGGGAGAAGACTCACCTGGCTGCAGCTGGAGGGAGGGTCTAGTCTGGGCTGAGCCAAGCTTGGCTCAGGGGGACCAGGTGGCCCTCTGGGAGCCCTTCGAGGTTACCCAGCCAGCCCAGTCATGGCCCCTCCTCCTGGTAGTTGCTGCAAAGTGGTGGGGCCAGAAGCGGATTGACTACGCCCTGTACTGCCCTGACGCTCTCACAGCCTTCCCCACGGTGGCCCTGCCCCACCTGTTCCATGCCAGCTACTGGGAGTCAACGGACGTGGTCTCCTTCCTGCTGAGACAGGTACCCCTGGGGTCCTGCACTGCCCAGGCACACATCGGCCTCACAGGGGGCCCCAAGTGACAGTGCTGATGACATGGCCCCATTAGATGAGGGGATGGTGGAGGGCCCCTCCCTCTCCCCATCTGACCACAGAGCAAGCAGGATGGAGGAACACTTGTGCTGGAATGTGTTAAGACTTTTGGGGATTGTGGGGATGGAGTGAATGTATTTGCCCATTTGTGGGACAGACAGGAATTGTGCGGGCCAGAGAGCAGACTGGAGAGGATTGAGTAGTGTCCCCCCAAAAGCCTCACGGGTTCCTATTGCTGCCTCTTGGGGCCTCTGGGCTCTTCCTTCCAGAACAAGAAGCCCCAGGCTTGACCCTGCCCCGTGGCCTCCTCTGTTCCCCCAACCAGGTCATGAGGCATGACAATTCCAGCATCTTGGAGCTGGATGGCAAGGAGGTGTCAGTGTTCACCCCCTCGAAGCCGAGAGAGAAATGGCAGCGCAAGAGGACCCACGTGAAGCTGAGGGTGAGGGGGCCTCTGGGTACCCAGGCCCCAGGGCTGCCGTGCTATTTTATCTCCACAAGAAGCCCCCATGTTACAAATGAGAGACTGAGTCACTGAGAAGCGTGCTGTCTTGTTTAATCCTCAGTCTGTGAGGTTGGAGCTATCAGCCTATTTGCAGACAAGCACAGTGAGGCTTCCTAATTTCCCCAAAGCTGAGCTGGACTGGAGCATGGGCTGCTGGACTGCAAGCCCATGCTCCCCCTCAGTCTCATGGGAGCTTGAGCTGAGCCCAGGAGACCCCAGACACCTTCCATCCCCCACCCTGACCCAGCCTCACTCCTCTCCCCAGAATGTGACAGCCAACCACCGGATCAATGATGCAGTAGCCAACGAAGACGGCCCACAGGTTCTGACGGGCCGGTTCATGTATGGGCCCTTGGACATGGTCACCCTGACTGGGGAGAAGGTGAGGACACAGAGGGACCTCAGGAGCTCCCTGGATCCCTCTGGCCAGGGTGGAGGGGTAGGGAGACCCCAGGCGCAGCCAGCTGGTGACCTGCCTGGGCTCCCAGGTGGACGTGCACATCATGATGCAGCCGCCCTCGGGGGAGTGGCTGTACCTGGACACGCTGGTGACCAACAGCAGTGGGCGCGTCTCCTATACCATCCCCGAGACGCACCGCCTGGGGGTGGGCGTCTACCCTATCAAGATGGTGGTCAGGTATGCGCCTATGCTGGGGAGGGCAGGCGGGTGACCTCTGGGGGGCAAGGAGGGGCTCTGGTGCTTCTGACCACTGCCCCGCCTGCCAGGGGGGACCACACGTTTGCCGACAGCTACATCACCGTGCTGCCTAAGGGCACGGAGTTTGTGGTCTTCAGTATCGATGGCTCCTTTGCCGCTAGCGTGTCCATCATGGGCAGCGACCCCAAGGTGCGGGCCGGGGCAGTGGATGTGGTGCGGTAAGTGGCCCCAAGGAGCATGATGGGATGGTAAGGAGGTGGGCGGGCTCAGGGCCAGAAGCTCCTGCAGGCCATGTGAGGGAGGACCCAGGGTGCCACCACAGGGGACACTGGCATGGCCCCTGGGGAGACACACTAGCTATGTGACCTTGAGCAAGTTGTTTGGCTGCTGGATATTGATCTCCAATTCCCTCATTGGCAAAGTGAGGCTGGTAAGACCAGTCAGAGCTCTGCAGAGGGTGTCCGGGAGGATTATGTGGCTCCCTCATGACAGCCCTGCCAGCCTGGTGTGAGTACCCTGTAGTTTGCTGCTGCCACCATCATTGTCGTTGTCATCATTATCACTTGAACCCGATCAGGGGTGCATTTTTCAGTGGCCCAAGCGGGCACTGGCTGGGCAGGAGACAGGAAGGCCCAGGAGGGAGGAAGGGACAGCCGTGGAACACACAGGCCCACCCCTCACCTGCAGGCACTGGCAGGACCTGGGCTACCTCATCATCTACGTGACAGGCCGGCCCGACATGCAGAAGCAGCGGGTGGTGGCATGGCTGGCCCAGCACAACTTCCCCCACGGAGTGGTGTCCTTCTGCGACGGCCTGGTGCATGACCCGCTGCGGCACAAGGCCAACTTCCTGAAGCTACTCATCTCTGAGGTGGGTCCTGGGAGGAAGGGAGAGGGGATGAGGTGGGGGAAGAGGGCCACGCCTGTGCCACACTGGTCTCACCCACAGTTGCACTTGCGTGTGCACGCGGCCTACGGCTCCACCAAGGACGTGGCGGTCTACAGCTCCATCAGCCTGTCACCCATGCAGATCTACATTGTGGGCCGGCCCACCAAGAAGCTGCAACAGCAATGCCAGGTGAGTGGGCACACAGGGGTGGGCATAGGTGGGCACTCCAGTGCCCAGTCTGTGACCACCGGCCACCTCTCTGCTCCTGTAGTTCATCACAGATGGCTACGCAGCCCACCTGGCCCAGCTCAAGTACAACCACCGGGCAAGGCCAGCCCGCAACACGGCCACCCGCATGGCGCTGCGCAAGGGCAGCTTTGGCCTGCCCAGCCAGGGTGACTTCCTGCGCTCCCGGAACCACCTGCTCCGCACCATCTCGGCCCAGCCCAGTGGGCCCAGCCACCGGCACGAGAGGACACAGAGCCAGGCAGACGGCGAGCAGCGTGGCCAGCGCAGCATGAGCATGGCGGCTGGCTGCTGGGGCCGCACCATGACTGGCCGGCTCGAGCCAGGCGGAGCCACGGGCCCCAAGTAGGGCACCGCTGGGGAGGCACTGCAGTCTCCATGGTGCTAGGCCAGGTGGCAGCCCCGCCAGGAGCCCTGGCCTGGGCACACGCAGTTGGCTGGGACAAGCACAGATGCGGCCCTGGGAGCTTGTCCTAAGTCCCTGTGGAGGACACAGGATGTACCACATAGTCCTCCCAGCCCCGCCTCATGTCCTAGAATCTGAGGGGTCCAGCTCATCGTGGAAGCTGGCAGGACCACCAGCCCCAGTATGACAGAGGGACCAGGACTCCCCACTTAGACTGGCCTGGGAGGTGCCCCTGGAAAATCTGTGCTGCATTGACCTCCCAGCACCTGATGCCAGGTGTGGTCCAAGCCGGTGGCCCAACCTGCCAACTCCCATTCCCTCCCCTTGGGTAGCAGCTTGTTAACTCGAGTTACTCAACTTTTCAACCTCACTGGTTTTGCACTGATTTCTGAGAGAGCGGAGACCCACTTCCATCTCCTATGGCTACAGACTCGTTGACATGCATGAAAATTCAATATTTGCTGATACAGAACCTGTTACCACACAGAAAGCTCCAGGGCAGCAGATCCTTACGCAAGCAGGAGAGAAAGGCCATATCTTCATTTCTGCAGCCCCGCCAGGCCTGCCAGCGCCATGGGAGCCCCAGACCCCGGCCCACCATCTGCCTGCCCCACCTGGAGCCCAGTCCGGCCACAGGTCTGGTATCATTTCCGGCCCTGGACAGCCCAGGTGCAAGGCCCATGAACCCCAGCGCCAGTCCAGCGCCATGGGAGCCCCAGACCCCGGCCCACCATCTGCCTGCCCCACCTGGAGCCCAGTCTGGCCACAGGTCTGGTATCATTTCCGGCCCTGGACAGCCCAGGTGCAAGGCCCATGAACCCCAGCACCAGCTCCCAAGTTGCCCCGTCTCAGGCCACGGGGCCCGCACAAGCCTGGCCTCTTCACTCCTTGCAGCCATCGGTCAAGGCCGCGCTGCGGCCCTCCTGCCCTGCTGCCCTCCCTGCATTTCTACGCCTTTCTACTTCTCAATCTGATTTCTATGAGGTTTTTTTAAATGAGCAATCCTTGGCTGCTTCCTTTTCTTAACTCTTTCAATACCAAGCGCAGCCCCTCCACATGGAAAACACCCAGCACTGTGACGGAGTCCAGCCTGGTCTGAGTCCTGTGGGCCCTACCCCTGCCCACTCAGCAGGGCGTGGGCTCCCTGCCTCACCTGACCCCCACTAATTCCACGGGGTTTCTACTCGGGGGTGGGTGGGGCACACTCTTAGGTTTTTTTAATGCCAATTCCGTTTCGATGCCGAATCTAAGAAGCCACCACTCGCTTCGTTAGCTCAAGAGCAGGCAGCCCCAACTTCATTTCTCACCTAAACAAGGACCAGGCTGTCCTGCACGCCGGGTCTGAGCATCAGCCCTCTCTCCCCAGCGCCGAGCATGAGCTCGGCTCCTCCACCCTCCCTGAGGTGGGAGCGCCTGCCTGGCCCCAGCCAGCTGTCCAGTGACAAGGCTCTGTTCCCGAAAAGATGCTGCTGACCCGGATCTGTCCTCAGGCCACGTGGGCTGGGCTGGGAGGTGCAGATCGTTGTTAACTTTTTCCTGTGTGTAGATATGTACAGCCAAAGGGTCATGTAAATGTTCTGCAAAAGCGGGCCTATACAGAGTGAAAGCTATTTATTTTGTGCAGAGAAAAATGTCTGGAGGGATGGAACCTTCAGGGTTTATTCATATTTAAGATGTAGCTTTGTGTTGTTGTTGCAGACGTTATGTATAAAGCAACAACTCTTTTATGGACCAAGTTTTCATGTAACTGTTGCAATGGAAGTGCAATATCTGATCCCCTCTGCTCCCCAGCGGGAAGTCACTCGGCCCGACAATCACAGCCCCAGCCAGGGGCCCCTGTGGCCAGTGCCTCCTCCTCTGTCGTCCCACCTCACCCTGTCTTGCCTACCGCCTTGGTGACCAGCCACCTGGAGAAGCACCTGGAAGAGTCTCAGGCCCGCCTGCAATAAAGGCCAGGAGGCCTCCTAGCCTGGGAGGCCCTGCAGGCAGTGGGCCCAGCCTCTCCATAGGGGACAGCTCCCCCACGGCTCCGCGCCGCCAGCCATTCCAAGGACAACAGCAATAGTCCCCTGGGCCCTTCCTGTGGCCCTTAGCCATAGATAGTGAGATGGGCAGCCCCCTCCCCACTGAAGTCTCTTCTGTATCCAGGTCTGCTTCTCCCTTCCTTCAGATAGATTCCTTTTGGCACATTCTTCTCTTGAAGAAGCACCAGTTTTTCAGAAACTGAGAGGGCAAAATCCTTTAAAAATACCAAAAATGTTTACAGCGTTGGGTGCTGAGCTGCAGGGCTCAGGCCTGACCAGTCGTAACCAAAGGGTGAGGCAGGCCACACTGACTGCCACCCGCACCCCAGGCCTGTTGGAATAGAAGCCTTAGTCCCTCCCCACCCCAGCCCCCCAGCTCCAGATCCCACCACCTGCCTTCTCTTTGATTTCTAAAGAGGGATTCTGCAGAGACCTCCGCCCCCTCCCCAGCTCAGTCTGAGCTGCCTGCCCACCCGTCACAGTCTTCATATCCCATCTGTCCTGTGCCGTCTGTCTCTCTGGGCCATGTGTGAGCAGTGTCCTGACCACCCCCTGCTGTCCTGCCATCATTGGCCTGAGTGTGCTCTGTATACAGCGTCCTCGTCTGTTACACCAATTAAAAAAGCAGGAAGGCTTCCTTCTGGGTCTCTTTACTGCACCGGCAACCATGGGGTATGGGGTACAGGGTGGGACAGGGGATGGGAGGGCATGGCCAGCCCCTGTGGTGGGGCGAGGCCATCCTTCCCAGGCAAAGATATCAGCTACACTTACAGTAACACCAACAGGCCAAGCCCTCTTCCACCTCCTCCCAGATCTGAACTCAGTGAATCCTCATGCAGTCCAGTGGGGCGGGGGCTCTCTGCCTCTCTGCTTTACAGAGGGGAACACAGCTAGTAGGCCAGAGCCAAAATGCCCACCCAGACCACTGGGCCCCACACTGCCATGGTCTGTGGAATAAACATGGCCAGGGAAGCAGGCTCCCTCCAAGCCCGAGTGAATCAAATTGAAGAGCCAGGGCTCTGGGTTTGGGATTCAGCTAGGGGTGGGTGTCGGTGTCAGGGTCATGTCCAGGCGGGCTGACCTGAGGCTGGGCAGGGCAGAGGTGGGTGCGGTGGCCTATGCTACCACTAGGGGACACTCCAAGTCTCTTCAAAAGCCCCTGGAGCCCATGTTTATCCCTGGAAATTGTGTTGCACCCTCCCTCCCCCTCAGCACAAAAGCAACAGCACAGAGAAAGTCTACAACTAGGGCACATTTACTATGTGGGAAGCTGTGCTCTTCCAGATGGGGGTGCTGAGTAGGTAGGCCAGGGACCATCCTCCACCCTGGGCACCTGACAGGCAGCAGGACTGGCATAGCAGAAAAGGCAATGGCACTGATCAGGCTGCTGCCGTCCACCCTGCAGCCTCCAGGCCACCTGCACTGTCCACGGACCTTGACCAGCTGGGGCCTCAGGGCAGCAGGCCGGCTCGCATCTGGAAGGCCAAGCCGTCCCCTCGGGTGGCTTGCTGAGGAAGAAAGCACACAGGAGAAGGGGGACATCAGAAACAGAGCTGGGATAATAATCAAAAATTTTTTTTAATTTTAAAAAAACAGCTGGGGGCAGACTATGGGCAAAAGGGCAACACCAACCTTATTGATCTCTCTGTGTCGTTCTTTGGTTACGATTTCCTCCAAGATCTCACCGTCTCCTTTAATGAGCCTGGGGGGTGGAAAGGTGTCCATTCAGAAAGGAATAGGCTGAGCCCCTAATGCCAGAGCAACAGAACTGAAACCATCCAGCAGAGAAGTCCCAGGGCTGAGGCCCCCAGCACCTTGAATGAGCAGAGCCTACCGACTCTCACCCTCTCCCCTGCCCTTGGGACAGGGACGAAGGTGGTGAAGTAAGCTCTGCCTTGCCAGCCTCCAACAGCAGCCCTTTGAAGAGCCTACTCCAGGCCCTTCTGGCCCCATAAACTGCTTACTCCAGACAATGAAGAAGAATGAAATGTCACATCACAAATGTGTTTTTTCTACTTGGCCTATTTAGAGAAGAAATAGCCACTCCTCCTCCTCCTAAGACTGCACATCTTGGGCCAACCCTGCCAAACATAGCAGTGTGGGGCCAGGTTGCACCAAGCACTCCCCACCTGGTGCGGCCCGTCTCGGGGTCCACCACCTTGCGGATGACGCTCTGCCGGGCATCCCACTCCTCCTTGGTCATGGGCTTCATAGCTTGGATGCGGGACTTCTGCTCATCTGTCAGGACTGGAAGGGAAGATAGGAGGAGGTGGTGACCAGGCCTCAGGGAGGGACCCCGCCCCCTCCTGTAAGCAGGGAAGCACAGTACCTGGGCCATCCTCCTCCTCCCCAGCTGATCTGTGCCACTGGTCAAGGGAGGGGCCCGGTAGAGCCTCCGCCTGCTGCACTTCTGCCTTCTCCTTGCTTTTCTTCCTCAGTTTCTTTTTCCTTTTCTTCTTCTTCTTCCTCTTCTTGTCCTTGTGCTTCCCCCGCTTCTTCCGGCCATCACTGGAGGAAGTGGAGGAGGACGAGGAGGAAGAAGAGCTAGAAGAACTGGAAGAAGAGGAGGAGGAGCTGGATCGTGGTCTCCTCCGGGCCTTGTGCTTGCTTCTCTCTGTGATGCAGGGAGAAGGTGAGGCTGGAAGGCTAGGAGGGGGAAAGTAAACCTGCGCCCCCTTGCTCTGGCCAGGGGTAAGCTCAGGCCACCTACAGGGTAAGCCCCTCCTGGCAGGTCTCCAGGGAGGGCTTCCCAAAACACAGATCAGCACTCTCTCTGCAGGAGCACTTTCCCGGCTCCATGAGGTCACTGTCTGCACAGAAGCAGGGCGGCCAGGCCCGACCTCAGGTCCAGGTGCATAAAAGTCATGATGAAACACTTCCTTCAATCCACACTCAATGGGCAGGGCCCTTCTCCTCCTCTTTTAGGGTCTTTCACTCCAGACTTCTACGCCTCTGACTACGTTCACTGATTTCCCCACAGCCAGTCCCAGAAAGCCGACCCAGCTGCCTGAAGCTTTCTCCAATGAAATTGCCGCACTCCTTTCCCAGTCCCTGTGGTCCTCACCCTCTGCCCCGGAGGTACTGCTGGCCTTGCGACCTTGGGATCCAGAGGCCGAGCAGCTCCTCGAGGCGTCCTTCCTGCTCTTCTTCCTTCTCTTCTCCGACCCTCGCCCCCGGGACCGGCTGCGACTCTTTGAGCGCTTGCGAGAGCCAACGTGAGCCATAGCGCCGCGGGCTGGAAATGGGGAGAGAGGCGCTTAATCCGAGGCACCCCTTTGGCCGGCGCACAGAGTGGGCCCCAAGGGCGGCTCTACTGGCGTCCAGAGCCCACTGCCGCACCGGGGAACCGCGCGACCTTCTCCCACCCTCACCCGGGGACCTTGCACTAAGGCCCGTTTAAGGGCACGCCCCCGCCTGGACGCTGCACGGCTGCGCACCCGGCTCGACACCCCCGGGAACTGGCCGCGGTCCTCAACAGCGAGGAGCGCGTGGACTCCTTTACCGCGCTCTCCTTCCCTCCACCGAGAGCCAACGTGAGCCATAGCGCCGCGGGCTGGAAATGGGGAGAGAGGCGCTTAATCCGAGGCACCCCTTTGGCCGGCGCACAGAGTGGGCCCCAAGGGCGGCTCTACTGGCGTCCAGAGCCCACTGCCGCACCGGGGAACCGCGCGACCTTCTCCCACCCTCACCCGGGGACCTTGCACTAAGGCCCGTTTAAGGGCACGCCCCCGCCTGGACGCTGCACGGCTGCGCACCCGGCTCGACACCCCCGGGAACTGGCCGCGGTCCTCAACAGCGAGGAGCGCGTGGACTCCTTTACCGCGCTCTCCTTCCCTCCACCCCCGCGCCCTCCGCGCCCTCGCCGTCTTGAGAAGGGTCTCCGGGGCCGCTCCGTGCCCAACCTTCAACCACCCATTGGGCGAGACAGGCTCCGCACCACGCCCTGGCGTGAGGAAGTGGCGGCGAGGTGGCTTCCGGCCCGGGGCGGTGCGCCGGCAGGCCTTCCGGCTGGGAAGCGAGGAGCTGCTGCCTTTAGTTCTGAAGCCTCAAGTTCCGCCTCTGGCTCGCACACCTCCCGCAGAGGCGAGCTGGGGATCCAGGCTCCCGCCTTCAGGCGGGTGGGAGGCCGTGCCCAGAGGCCTAGGAGGCTATGCCGCGCTCTCCAGCCTGGAGTCAGTACCCGAGCCCTCACCCATCTTTGCCGCAGCTGCGCCCTCTTCCAAGACTGTCCTTCCCAAGTGCCTGTCTCCCTGAGGCCCAGGGAAGGCGACCCTCCTGCATGCCACTCTCCTACCTGGCTTGTCTGCAGACCTGTCCACTCCATCAGCCTGTGAGCTCCAGGCTGAGACGTCCTGGTCTTTCCGACTCCCCACCCAGTAATGCACAGGTTGTGAACTCGAGTGTCCATAAAGGGACAGAGAAATCATAACAATGAATGAGGGAGTTGGACCACAGGCCTGTATGGTGTGCAGCTGAAACTGCTCCAGCTGATTTCTGCAGTATGGAAATGGGGCCTGGTGTTTCCACATCTTCACACCTTTCCAGGGAAGCTAGAACTCAAGATTTCAATATGGAAATGCCCTGGTTTTCAAATGTATAACCCAAACAAAACACGGCTGTGCACCTCATCCAATCTTGGGGCCACCAAGTTGCAAACTCTTTATAACAACGACAGCAGCAAACACAGAAGGCTGTTATAAAGCACTTTATAAATGTTAACTCACTTGTTTCTCACAACAGCTCTTGGAGGTAGGCACTTTCCAGACGAGGAAACTAAGGCACAGAGGTTAAGTTTCTAATTCACAACTACACAGTTTAAGAAGCAGAACCAGAATTTGAACCCAGTCTGGCTCCAGTCCCTGATCTTAGCGCGTCTGCAATAAGCCAACACCCATCTAGAAGACACTAGTGGCCCACCCAAATCCCCCAGCAGCGGTGTCCAATGCTGACAATTCACACCTATACTCTTCTCTGGAAGCTTCCCTTGGTCACTGGGGGACACCCTGCCCTGGAGATAGATGTCGGGAAGTTAGTTACTCACCCCTCTCTGTCGCCCTGCCCCACCCAACCCACAGCCACTAACTGCTGCTGGGGGCAAATTGTGGTAGATTCATGCTCCAGATTCTCCATGGGGTCAGGCAGAGGCTGGACTTCATCTGAAACCACATCTTTACCCAGCTGCTCCCCAAGCCCTCTCCTGCTCCTTCACTCTCCTCCTGAGGATACTCCCTCCGGGAATGCCATATCAGGCTCTGCTTCCAACAAACCTGAATTAAGCCAGCCTGTCTGCGGAAAGAATAACCCAGAAGCTGGCATGTCCTTTTGAACCAAGAATCACTGTGGACTGCAGTTTATTTCTGCCCCTCCCCATCGAAGGTGGCAGAATCCTCATCTGCCGTGCCACCTCCCACACTGGGCCAACCCAGGCTCAAGTCAGTGCACACACATCCACCATGGTGGGCTCCTCTCGGGTGAAGCCATCACCATAGCCCTCGTCATCCACCAGGTCAGGCTTCCGGCAGCACATGGGGCAGAGTTGGTTACGCACAGCAGAGGCCCGGAGCCAGACGACGAGGTTCCAGCGCTCACCGGTTCCCAGGGGCCGGGCCCCGTGCAGCTGGCCACCCCGGTGCAGGATGCCGCAGCCCACCACATGCTCCACTTCCAGGGGCTCCGTCAGGGATGCAGGTGCCTGCAGGTGGCAGATCTCAGCTCTGGGCACTCATGGCTTCCCAGGCCTGGCCCCACACTCACCTGCACTCACCTGGAAGAGGCCTCCGAAGTAGAGGGCACCCCCAGTGAAGGTCTTGCCCAGGGCCACGTTGAGGGTGAGCTCAGCGTTATCATAGTGGCAGCCCAGCTCACGGTCCTGGCCCAGCGCATATTTGACCACAAAGGCACGGTGACTATCCAGACAGCCCCCACCACAGTCTGGGTACAGCAGGGCCATCAGTGGTTGCAGAAATCGTTCCCGCAGGGGCGTCACCAGCGGCTCATCCAGGCCTAGCTCATGTAGCAGCACCTGGGAGGGGAATCCCTGGGCTCAGCAGGGAAACCAGTGAGGCCTCACCCTGCATCCCTAGGGGTCCCTTGTTAAGGACGCTGCTGAGTGCTTTGCAAACATCAACTTGTTTAACTTCACAGTAATCCCAGCATGATCTTATCTTACAGATGAGGACAGCAACTCATCTGCAGCACCTCAGAGCCAGCTCCCTGACTGAGCCACCCCACTCCTCATGCCCACCGGGCTCACCCACCCCATAGTTGTTCATGGTGTTGGGCCTTCCCTTGGGCATGTCTGACTGCTCAAAGTGCTCCAGCTCCTCCAGCAGGGCCTGGCAGAATGGTGCTGTGAACACAGGCACCCGGTAGATGCGCTTCTCCTCTGTGGAGGGAAGGACAGTCTGTTGGCCAGGGGCTCTGGTGTGTGGTTGGACAGGCCTGGGTTTAAATCTTCTCATGAGCTATGGGAGCCTGGGCATGCCTTTTCACTTCCCCCTGCCTCAGTTTCCTCATCTGAACAATGGGGATAATGAGGGCCCTCACCTCTCAGGGCTGCTGTGATGATTAAATGACATAATGTGGATGAAGCAGGGGAGGGCGATTCTCATGCCCCTCACTCATCCCACAGCCTCTCACCTTGACTCCACAGATGCCCACAGGTCTGGCCTCCAGAGCTTAGATGTGGGTCCTGTGGCCCAGAGAGGGGAAAGGACTAGCCCAGGCCAACGACAGAGCCAAGCCAGGACCATGAAGCAAACTGCAGGCTCTCTCTGTCCCTCCTTCCCCTGAAGAGCTACCAAAGTCTGCATCCCAACTCAGAAGTGTCTCTTGGAGCCTCTGTTTCCCACCCGGGAAGGCCAAGAGGGGCTGCTCATTCTAGCTGGGCCCTGGGGGGAGAAGCCAGGCTGAGAACGGAAACATAAACTTCTTGGCAGATGCACCAATGCCCAGAGGTGCCCTCAGCACGTGGCCAACTTGAAGCCCAGCCCTAACCCCACCCAAATAGCCTCAGCACAATCTCAACTGCTGGGGAGTAGAAGACAATGGGGAGGGTATCCCCCAGGCTAGTTGGGGGGTTTCGTTCCACCCATGCTCCCCAACAGATCACAGGCTCTATAAGACAAGCAAATTTTACACCTGTCTCCTGACAGTAACCCCCAACCTGGGATAACAATGAGAAAAGAAAACACTTGCTAAACACTTACTATGTGCCAGGCCCTGTGCCAAGCCCTCTGCATATATTCATTCACTAAATCATTGCAATACCTTAAAAGACAGGGACTACTCTTGCTCCTGCTTTGCAGTTGAGGAAACTGAGGCAGAGAGTTTAAACAACATGCAAGGGCTCCTTGGCCGTGACTTCCTGCTGGGTTTAGCCACTAGGTGACCCCAGCAGGAAATCCAAGGGCAGGAGGAGAAGGGGGTGTTTCCTGCCTCGCCTCCTCTGGGCTTGGTGTGGCTGTGTGCCTCTGCTCAGAACCACAGCGGCTGTCCAACAGCTCTGCGCCTACAGCTCCAGAACTTGGCAGGTTCAAGAAACTTCACTCTCTCTACTCCTTCAGGTCTAGGGCTGGTGATGGCTCCCTCCTGTTGCTAGCCCTGGGGGGGGCTTTGCCATCCCTTGCTCATCCCCTAACCCTGTCCACACCTCCTCAATTGTCCCTTCATTAAGCTCTTTCATCAGTCGTGTTTAAGTGTGCCACCTGTCCCACTCTTGATACCAATACACCTATTGCTGGATAAGTGAGTGAATAAGTGAATACAGATGCCCTGCTCCTGGCAGGTTGGTCCCACTGGCTCTTCCAGGTCTTGGTGGTTTGGAGGCAGAGATGATAGGTGGAAGGACCCCAGTCTCCCATGCCCAGGTAGCACAGGCTGCCGCCCCCTAGTCCTGCTAGGCCATGGGGCCAAGACCTCACCTGATACTGTCTCTAGCCGCTGGAGAAGGCCCTCGAGGTCTGCACCTGGGAATGTGCTGTACTCAGCTGCAGCCAGAAACTTGGGAGCCAAAGCTTCATCCTGGGGCAAAACATGCCAGCTGTGAGGCAGGCAGCCCCCAGGCCTGGAAGCCACCTCCTCCTTCCAGTAATCCACCCTCAAACTCCCTGCCTAGTACCTGCAGTGAGTTGTAGATGTCAGGCTTCAGAGGGTGGTAGGAGCTCACGATGAGAGCTTTCCTGGCAGCCGACTCCTGCCCCAGCCGCTGCCGCCGCTCCACCTCCTGCTCAAGCTGGGGTGGTACAGGGCTTGGTTACCAGATGGGGCCTCCCATCCTCCCAAGGCCATTGTACAGACAAAGAAACTGAGGCCCTGGAAGGCCAGAGCAGGGCCCAGGCTGGAAGCCCAGTCTCCCTACACTCCTGAATCTATCAGGGTTGATTGCAAGGGCCAAGCTGTCAGCTGAAGGTGACTTCTTCGAAGAAGAGGCCCACTCTGCTTTGGGCTGCTCCAGCCTGAGCCTGGCTGGGATGAGAGCCCCTGGATGCACCTTAAACAGCTAGGCCCACTCAGGGAGGGGAATAGAGTCATGGTCAAGTCTTGTGTTCCAGAGGCTGCAGAGGGCTCTCTTTAGAATCTTCCCACCAGTAACCCCAAGGAGGGAGAGGAGCAGCAGCAGCCCTGGCACCAGCCTAAGGGGGAAGTGGGGAGCTGTGAAAATCCCAGGGGCCTGGCAGCCCTGGTGGTATCTCAACTCCATCTGCTGTGAATCTTGGGCAAGTGACCCCCCTCTTTGAGCCTGTTTCTCATCCCAAAATGGGGGATGACGGCTGTGCCTGTCTCATGAGCTGTTAAGGAGGGCATGACAACTTGATATTTCTCCTTTGTCTCTCTTTCTCCTGCCAGGACCCAAGTGCGGGGGAGAGTGGGAATGGGAAGGGGGAAAGGTGGGCCTGAGGATCCTACAGGGATCAGAGATTGGCAAGCCTGAGGCTGAGACCCCCCTGAAACTGCTGACACAAATCTAAGGCGGAAGGGCTAGGCTGGGTGTGCAGGGGTAGGGGGTGTTACCTCTGCTAACAGCTGCCGGAAGTCTTGGGTGTTGACACAGCCGCGGCTGCGCAGGATCTGGGAGTAGAAAGACCAGTGAGCATGCCTGTACGACCTTGGGCAAGCCCCTTAACGTCTCTGGCCCTCAGTTTCCCCTCCTTAAAATGGAGACGAGAACCTCGACCTCACAGGATCACTGAAAGGATGAACTGCGAGAGCCTCGTTAAGCACAGAGCAGGGTCCCAGCTGCCCTCACGCTGACACAGCACTCTGGGCCGGGCCCTGCCCTTGCGCACCCTACATCTATGTTCGTTCATTCATTTCTCACAACCTCACTAAGTAGATATTCCCCTTTAAGGCAAGAAAACTGAGGCACGGAGAGCATCCCTTTTCGTATCCGAGCACGAGGTGCGCGCCGTGGGCAGAGCAAACCTCGGGGACAAAGGTGCCTCGTGCTTCGCCCCTCTGCCAACTTCTCCGGAGAGCCGAGAGAGGCCACTCACCGGGCCGTAGTCTCGGCGCAGCTGCTGCTCGCCCCGGAAGCGCACGTGCAGCCCGTAACGCGCCACGTACAGGTTCTCGGAGCAGAAGCAGGCACAGCGGCAGAAGCGCCGCGGGGCCCCAGCCGTCGCCATGGTGAAGCGCCGTGCAGCCCTGCCGGCTTCCGTAGGGGCACTTCCGGATACTCCCCCAGCCCAGGGAGGTGGGGCACCCGCGGCCAAGGGGACGTTCTCATTTCCCAAGTGCAGAAGGGAACGAAGACTCTCCTCACCAGACAACGGTCTGCGGGAGGGAAAAGATGGTCCCGGGCCGTGGCGGGGCCGGCGGCCTCCTCGTTCTGCCTCATGATTTCCCCACCCACGAGGCGGGGAATAATGGCCTCGCCTTACAGATAGGTGAACTGAGTCACACCTTCACAAGACGTGGAGAGGTAGAGACTCAGAACTCCAAGGCCTTTTACTTAAACGCTGCCCTCTCTTCTGCTCGGAGCTTTGGGAGAACCAGCCGGCTCCACGAGGAAAACTGAGGACAGTCAGAGGAGCACTGAGGTCCGACCTCGTTCCCGTCAGCCGCTATCAACCATCCAGTTCTCTGCGTCTGAATCTGGATTTAGCGTTTACCCGAGTCCCTGCCCGGCGCTCCCGGGGCCTCCGCCAAGATCTCTTGTGCTTTGCGGCAGATTGCCCCAGCAAGTGTCTCTGCGAAAACGCCCCGTGTGGCGTGACTTCCGGTGGTATTCCCAAAGGATAGGGCGTGGGTGGGGCCGGCGTGGGCGGGGAGATGGGCGTGGTCTGTTAGCGGCCATGCCCTCACGTAGACCAAGTTCAAGTTCAATACAGCTAAGGCGTGAGACCAGTATATTAATAGCTTGTAGGGTGTGCATCCCGACCTCAGGGAGGCCCATCACAGCACACACATACCCAGCCTCGGGGTCCCCATCACTGTCCGCCATGCAGCTCCCGGGCCCAGGTCTGTAAAGACTCTTAAAGAAGCTTGGATGGCAGCCCCATTCCTCAGATAGGAGAACTGAGGCTCTGAGTAGGGGAGGAAGTCGCGTTCCTTGGAATTGACCTCGGACTCCTGCCCTAGAGTTTCCTCCACGGCTCGGCTCACCGTGATGCGGGGATGCGGGTGGGGAGGAAGACTTAGGGCTTCAGACTCTAGCCCTTACCCCAGATAAACAGATGACTGCAACTATCAGCTCTTGTTGACTGAGCCTCCTCTCTACTGTGACCTGCACTGACAGATCCACCACCCACCTTATCTCCTTTCATCCCCACAGCAGCAAACCTTTGAGCTAGGTACTATTATATCACCATATTAGAGATGGGGAAACTGAGGCTTGGAGAAGTAGTGGCCTGGCCCCAAGTCACATCCAGTAAGGAACAAATATGGAGTTTGAATTCAACAATCTGCTGCCCTCTGAGTTCCCCCATTCACCAACACAGGGAGGGGTTCTTTGAGTGGTGGGATTATGTAGGATTTTGAATTTTCTGTTTGTGCTTGTTGGCGTTTTCTCGTCGATTCTGCTAGAGCCCAGCCCAAGCCTCCTGAAACTACTAGGCTTCCCCAAGGAGGAGAATGACCATCAGGGGCCTGAATCCTCCTCAAGGACTCAGCTCCCTAGCCCAGAGCAGCCTGCTCTAAGAAGGTGTTTAAAGTTTTACCAACGTCTTGATTGCCTTGTGATAGTGACAGGCTCTGCTATCCAGGAAAGGAACCATTTCCCCAGCTCGATATTCATTACTCCCCTAACTGCCTTTCTCCCCCAGGAGACCCAGGGCAGGCAGATTCTCCAAACAGCCACACCCACACCCCAACCCCCAGCTCCCCACTTAGATTTCTCCCTTTGCAACAGTTTGCAACATGAGCATGTTCTGCTTATCAGCTTAGACTGGCCCTCCCCAGGGACCTCTCCTCCTTACAGATAGTGTCCCCACCCCTACCCTGCCCCAGCCTGGGCTCAGTAACCAAAGGGAACAGCAGCAAGAAGAATATTTAATAGTGAGTACGGAATCAATGTGTGCTCCCAGCTAGCACTGACATGTGTCTTTGTTGACTGCTTGAAGTATTATTATCCCCATTTTACAGATGAGGAAACAGGCTCAGTGAGGTGCAAGGGCCTGTTTACGGTCATAAACCTAGTGAATGGCAGGACCGGAATTAGAACACTTCAGAATTAGAACATCTTTCTGTCTGATTCCAGAGTGGTATATATATATATGTGTGTGTGTGTATATATGTGTGTGTGTACATATGTATGTATACATGTATATATACGAATTAGAACACTTCAGAATTAGAACATCTTTCTGTCTGATTCCAGAGTGGTATATATATATGTGTGTGTGTGTGTATATGTGTGTGTGTACATATGTATGTATACATGTATATATACCCATACTTTTTAAATTGACGTAGAGCACACGTACAAAAAAAGGGCACAAATCTTAAGTGTACAGTTTGGTGAATTTTCACAAACTGGACACACTCATGTAACCAGCACCCAGATCTAAAATAGAACATTCCATCCCCAGAGAACCTCCATGTCACCTCTCAGTCACTACCCACCTCCCAAGGGTAATCACTACCTTGACTTCTAACAGCAAAGGTTAGTCTTGCCTGTGCTTGAATTTAATATAAATAAAACCATATAGTATGTACTATTTTGTATACAGCTCCTTTCACTCCACATTGCTTTTTTTTCACTTCCTCTCCTCACATTTTAAAAAATTTATTTATTTGTTAATATTATATTTTACATTCTAAGATATTGCAGAGCATTGGGGGAGGGGGCAAGGGGAAGGGGGAGGAAATAGCGTGGGAGGAGGAGGAAGGAGGGGGGCATGGTCGAGGCCTGTGGCACCCCCCCTCATTCTGACAGGGGAGAGCAGGGGGCTTCCAGCAGCTGCTTGGTCTTTGATGCGCTGGGTGCAGATGTCAGGGGAGTGTGGCTGAAGCCCTCGTCCCCCCACTGCTCCGGCTCGGGCACATTATGTTCTTGAGATTCACCTGTGTGGACAGGTGTAGCAGCAAACACTGAGTGAACATTCCACAGTCCATTGACCCCTTCTACAGTTGACAGGCATTTGCACTGTTTCCAGTTTGGGGATTTTATGAATGAAACTACTATGAACTTTTTTTTTTTTAACTGTGGTAAGATATAACATAAAATTTACCATTTTTACTAGTTTTAATGGATTTTATTTTTCAGAGCAGTTTTAGGTTTACGGCAAAATTGAGTGGAAAGTACAGAGGGTTCCCATATACCCCCTGTCCCCTCCAGCACATGCACACAGCCACCCCCCCCATCAACATCCTGCACTAGGGTGGTACATTCATATAGTTGATGAACCTACACTGACGCATCACTAGCATCTGGAATCTGTAGTACAGAGTAATTTTACTGCTCCACCTATCCATTTTTCCTTCCCCACTAACCCTTGGCAAACACTGATCTTTTTACTGTTTCCATAGTTTTGCCTTTTATCAGAACGTCATAGAGTTGGAATCATATAGTATGCAGCCTTTTCAGATTGGCTTTTTTCACTTGATAATATGCACTTAAGTTTCCTCCATGTCTTTTTATAGCTTGATAGCTCTTTTTTTTTTAAGCACCGAATAATATTCCATTGTCTGGATGTACCACAGTTTATTTATCCATTCACCTGCTGAAAGACATCTTGGTTGCTTCCAAGTTTAGGCAATTATGAATAAAGCGTCTACAAACATACATATGCAGGTTTTATGTGGACATAAGTTTTCATCTCCTCTGGGTAAATACCAAGGAGTTTGCTTGCTGGATTGTACGGTAAAAGTATGTTTAGTAAGAAGCTGCCAGACTGTCTTCCAAAGCAGCTTCACCATTTTGCATTCCCACCAGCAATGAATGAGAGTTCCTGTTGCTCCACATCCTTGCAAGTATTTGGTGTTGTTAGAGTTCTGGATTTTGGCCATGCTAATTGATAGGTATGTAGTGATATCTAACTGTTGTTTCATTTTATTTTATTTTATTTTTGTGACCAGTAAGGGGATCACAACCCTTGGTGTGGTGTTGCCTGCACCGTGCTCAGCCAGTGAGCGCACTGGCCATCCCTATATAGGATCCGAACCCGTGGCGGGAGCGTCGCTGCGCTCCCAGCGCCGCACTCACCCGAATGAGCCACGGGGTCGGCCCGCTAACTGTTGTTTTAATTTACATTTCCCTGATGACATATGATATGGAGCATCTTTTCATATGCTTATTTGTCATCTGTATATCTTCTTTGGTGAAGTGTCTGTTAAGGTCTTTGGCCCATTTTTTAATTGAGTTGTTTTCTTATTACTGAGTTTTAAGGGTTTATTGTACATTTTGGATAATAGTCCTTTATCAGATATGTCTTTTGCAAATATTTTCTTCCAGTCTGTGGCTTTTCTTTTCATTTTCTTGACAGTGTCTTTCATGGAACAGAAATTGTGATTTTAATGAAGTCCAGCTTATCAATTATTTATTTCGTGGATCATGCCTTTGGTCGCAGACTATATTTATGTGGGTCTATTTCTGGGCTTTCTATTCAGTTCCATAAATCAATTATCATTTATTTCCATTATCAATTATTTATTTCATGGCTCATGTCTTTGGTCATGGACTATATTTATGTAGGTCTATTTCTCGACTTTCTGTTCTCTTCCATTGATTGAAGTCTATACTTTTGCCAATAGATACTGTCTTGATTACTGTAGCTTTATAGTAAGTCTCGAAGTTAGGAAATGTCAGTGCTTCAAGATCGTTTTGGCTATACTGGGTCTTTTGCTTGTCCATATAAACCTTAGAATCAGTTTGTCAATAACCACAAAATAACTTGCCGGGATTTTGATTGGGATTTCATTGAACCTATAGATCAAGTTGGAAAGAACTGACTTCTTCTCAATACTGAGTCTATCCATGAAAGTAGAATATCTCTCCATTTACTTAGTTCTTTTTTTATTTCTTTCATCAGAGTTTTTTAGCTTTCCTCATATAGATCTTGTACATAGTTTGTTAGATTTACACCTATATATTTCATTTTGGGGCATGCTAATGTAAATTATATTGTGTTTTCAATTTTGTTTATTTATTTTTGGCATCTGGCCAGCACAGGGATTAACTCTGGAC